CCAAACCTCAGAGTGGCTTATCACAACGGCGAATGACTGCTTGTTACAGTCCAAGTGATTGAATTGACCAAGGGGTTATCTCAAAGTGAATCATTATCTTCATTGAGACAGCGTCACATTCCATTCATTCATAGAGTGCTTCAAAATCACACTACCAAGCAATAGTATGTTCAGTCTTGGGGGATGAGCACATTGCTGGAGAGAGATGCTGAGCAGGATGGAAATAGATAGAAAAGCAGGCACACAAGAAAAGCCGTTGGGATAGGCTCATCGCCGTGTCAGCAACTGTCTCCAACCAGATGTGCTCATCATCTATCAAGCCCCAACTCAGCAGCTGGGAGGATCTGATCGAGGCCAACTACGAAATGAGAACCTTTGTCCTTCATGACTAAGTCATCAGCCAGCCTCCGCTGGCAGTGTGCAACGTTGTAGAATCCATGTCCCAGTCACCGAAGTCTGGTGCGTGAACTAATGGCGCTGAGCGGTTCTTCCTCTTCCCATGATGCAGAACGGGGACAGCGCTCACGCGGTGTGCTAACTACATATGAGCTAACCTACGGAAGCACCGGTGATCGAACAGCATTAGCCTATGCAGGCGTGCCTCGGATAGGCGAGAATAGACCACATATTTACTTATTTGAACACGTCAATCTGATGATAAGAAGGTTGAGCAGGCCGCTCCGTAGTAGTATGATGTTACACGGATAAGACAAGCTGCGAAGTTTATAAAATGCGTCGAGTTTTTGCTGCAGGGTTTTTGGCCACATCTATTCCACAGCAGCTGACATAGCTACTCAGATAGTTTAACTTCTGGACGGCTTGTATTTGATAGGGCAATCTCGGTGGAAAGTCGTATATTTTGAAGGGTAGGAAACGTGGAGGGTTTCGGTGTGGCTCTCTTAAATCCGTGCACTCTAAGACCGATGGTTTTGTCTTTGTTTAGACTCATCAGGTAGAGATAGCCGAGCTGGGAGTGGAACTCGGTGCATAGTTCTTGGCGGCTATCGCCATGATCACTAGGCAATGCCTCAGCCCATATGCTGCCATACAAAAAAGAAACTTAAAAGTACAGACCATAAAAAACTTCAAAAAGCAAGTAAGATAATGTCAAATATCATATTATGCATTGGGTGGGAGATCGTAATTGGAGTGGGAATCTCAAGGAGAAGTGGACGGACAAAGGGATTCACAACACAAACGCCCCTGAGGTCGGCTCTTCCCCATATCAGCTAGTGTATTCAACTAAACGTGTTCATCGTCCTTCGGACGCCAGCCCGGCAGTCGGGAAACACCAACCGATGCCAACTTCGAAGTTTGGGTTTTCCTTCTTCTCGACCAAGTCAACGATTGGTCATCTCTCCTCTTCTTTCATCCACACCCACGGCGCGCAAAAAACACGACGCGGGAGTCGGTGTGCTGGTATGCGCAATACGCGGCCTAGCCATCGGAGCCTGGTGCGTGATATAATGGTGCTGAGCGGTTCACTCGCTTTTTCTGTACACGATACTCGACGCCGAACACGTTAAATGCTCACGCGGTGATTTCACCAGACATGAGCTAAGCTGCGAAGGAAGTGATGATCAAACGTGACTAGCCTCGTTATGGCTGTCGACCTGATGGGCCAGGATCCACAACCGTTTAGCAGGGTTGAACGGACGGCTGTATTGTAAACTGTCCTTTAGAGTGAGCGATGTCGCGTCGGTGCCACAGTTGGCGTAGATTGGCAAAAGCACCTCGAGCTTTTGCTATCCGGCAGGTAATCTCATCTTCGATCCCACGAGCGCTAATATATCTGCTCATGTACTTGAATTCATGAACGACTTCCAGCTGATCCTCACCAAGGGTCAGCGCAGGAGGCGATCCCTGCCAAAATTGAGTAAGCACTTTGCATTTCGAGGGAGCAAACCATTGTCCAAAACGATTGACGGCAAGTGCTATTCTGTCTAATGCTGTCTTGCATATTTGGCTAACGTCACAGATTAAGGCGATGTCGTCAGCATGCTGCAAGTCAAGAAGTCGCACACCAGGAAGCGGCTCCACACCGTGTCCAACGAACGCTGGTTCCATGACTTCGCCAATGGCAATGTTAAAGAGGAGAGGTGAAAGCGGGCATCAATGTCGCACACCACTGGAGATATTGAAAGGTGGCGACAGTTTGCCGTAAAGCCACACACTGGCAGAACTATGCGCGTACAGCGCTCCGATAATGCTTACGTATTTATCGGACACAACTTTCCCGAGCAGACAGTTTCAAAGGACGCATCGATCCACCCAATCGAAGGCAGTTTGATGTCGTAAAACAAGACTACGTTGGTTCGCCAATAAATATCGCGGTGCTCCAACAATTGTGGTAAAGAAAAGATATGGTCGATGCATCCCGGATTTCGAGGAAACCCCGTTTGCTCCTCACGATTCTCACTTCACGAATGCCAGTCAGTCTGTGGAGAACGACAGACGCAACCAATTTAGAGGCAGTTGAGATTAGACGAATTCCTCTATGACTACCGCATTCCGAACGTGAGGTTCCTTTGAAAATTGGGACTATGACGGAGCAGCTCCAGTCTGCTGGGACAGTCTCATGCTCCCACAACTTCACTAGCAAGTTGTGCAAATGATCCATAAGAGCAGGTCCTCTGAATTTGAAGATGGCTGGCCTTGATGAATTTCAACAATTCGATCTCACGTTCCACTTCTATGCGTGAGAATGGATCTAAGGAGACGGCCCAGGGTGAAGGGCAATCAATGGCCGAAAAAGGTGATAAGTTAGATTGATTAAACTGCTTTGCAAAGTGTTCAGCCCAACGCTCCAAGCGTTTTGAAAAGCTGTAGATCGACTGTCTACTCTGGTCACAAATAGTTTCACTAGCACCAGGTCCCCTGCTGCCCGTTCCCCATATAAGACGGAATAGCTTACATTGATTACCAACGGCAGCGGTTATCTTCATCTCCGAGGTACGATGAGACCACCACGCTTCCCGGTCTCCACTTATGCTAGCACGGAGTTTTGTCTTGAAAATTTGTGAGTCTCATTGTGTTCCCTTCCAGCGGGAATACGTCGACGAGCATCCAGAAGTTACAAAGACTATGTAGAGGCACATTGTTAAGGTTGACAAGTTGATTTACCACATGAAGACACGCCTACTGATATTAACGGCTGGCGAATATGCGACCAATGATCTTCAAAGGTGTTCAGTCCAGATAACAATGTACTTCGATACGCATTCAGAACACAATACGCATTCAGAACTGACTTCGCCAGTTGGCTGGAGTCTATGCGCTCACAGAGACGCTGCGGATGTCCGCCAAAACGTACACACACACAAGAGCGTGATCCGATTCCACGCTCGAGAGACAGTTTTTGGCACAGCCTCTCCAGCGGTAACTGATCGTGATGTGATGGATCTGCGTCCATGGCTGGTGGGCGCCACGTCACTGCGAGTCTTGTGTCGAAGGTTAGTGCATGCGATAAAGAGATGAGCATATGCACACAGGTGCAGCAACCGAGACTGGACCTTAACGTAGTGCGATGGTTTGTGTGCCTCAATGACCCATTGAGCCATGCTGGATAGTGCTTATTGTGCCTTCAAAGCCACTCACACCAGATTCGTCAATGGTTAGAAGCCTGACAACCTCAGTCCGCTGGCTCTCCAGGTTGGAGGTTAGAGTAAGGGTACCTCCTTACTCTATAAAACGGACTCTCTGCAGTCCAGTACCAAAACCTCGCTGCCTTGCGGTAAGGTTTTTGAATCAAAAACTTTGGTTGAGAACCCTAACCGTTCTCATGTTAAGGTCCGGGTAACCTGAACATGTGGCAAATCTCTGCCAAAAATATTGTATACCATTGGTTGTGCTGCTTTTTTGCAACCATTGAGGAGGAGTTGTATTGCAGCACAATGGCTTAGGTGTTTTTCACGTCCGAAAAGCACGTCGAATGGCGGTAACTTAGAGAAGTACCAGACGATAGGTGCAGCAAATCATGAATGATTATGAGTAGCGGTAACGTGACAAGACAATGAATGAAAGGTGAAATCTCCAAAATAGAACGACCTAGGCCGGAAAAGAATGGCAGTTTGGTAAGAAACAGAGAGCGTGTGTCCAACTACTACAATTTGCCTTAAATGTTTTCGGAAAGATCGTGAAAACGTACAGGAATCAATGAAGCGAATTTGAATGAAGGGGACATCATCGGGCGGGCAACACCCAATATCCATCAAACGAATTTGACCAAGTTTACTGAGATTATGAGACTGCTGTATTCATGTCAACGTGACATGATGGAGCTATTGGGAGGGGGAAGGGACTTCGCTTCGCCTTTGTACACCCTCTCGCGAATAGTCAGAGATGGCCGCGTCGCAGTGTGGTGACCCACGACAATTATCTTAGAGCAGCGTTTCCAACACAATACAACGCAGTGGAAACGAAACCTTCTAATAGCACCACCAAAACATCACGAGCAGGACTTCAAACGAATGGCATACTATGAAAAATGTTTGCGCGACAGTTAAGGGAGCCCATTTGTAGAATCCGTTTAAGTCCTATTCAAAGCCGATGTAGCTTCAGGAGAAATTCGGACCAATACAATTTAATGCCTATTGGCCTTAAGGATAATAAGCCTGTCTTGTAATCTGTAGGCTAGAAGCCTACGGAGGGACCGGGCGACCCACGTGTGATCCTTAGCCCATGTGCGACTGGTTGTGGTCGCGCGGCGGCGCGGCGTCAGTACTGCGCACAGGCGTACTACTACTGATACCTTTTACCTTGTTTTCTGATTTGTGAATTGGCTGATCCGCGATTCGAATAACTTTATCAACTATCAGTGCCGTCAGTAGAAACACAAGAGCGACGGACATATTCGAACACAAAAGGCTAAACTCAGATGGTCCAAATGTCACATGAAAGAAGTCACTGGGTGTAGGAAAACAAGCCGGTTAGGAAATGCCCAGAAGCGATTGACTAGGCACATAAAGAGCCGATTGACATCATTAACCACACAAACTAACCTTCCAACTGGCTGGTTATGGCAACATTTTTAACGGCGTCCGTGGTCCGCACTGAACTGGTAAAGGAGTCGAAAGCCTTTTCATTCGCCATCTTTCTCAAGCCTGCATCTGAAAAAACATGGAGCAAAGGGTAAACATGGTTGAAATCAATGAATAATGCTAACACCATTGGAACATTGTACGGGTAGTGTTTTTAGAATATAGAGAGGAATTTCCCCGGCACATAACCTCTAACGACGCGTCACAACAAGTTACCACTAGTTATAGAATCAAGAGCAGTCTCAAAGGCAAGGAAGGGTACCATGACAGGTTGTCAGAAAGCGCAAAAATGCGATCAGTTTACTTTCCAATGATTCGACGTTCATAGGGAACATAAAAGACAAAGCAGCGAGATGCATGTGTGAGAGGGAATGACAACACCATGGGTTCCACAGTGAGCAACAACATACGATTCCAGACGTGCCAGCCATTGTGACTGAGAGTAACCACATTGTGCAGTGGCGCGGAAGGTGAGAATCACGGCTGAAACGGACAATCCGCAGAAACTAAGAAAGAGGAAAATTCAAAAGGGCACCAGGGACGAAAGTTGACAAAGCAACTCGACGCCTACGGAACAAGCCGGAAATAGTCTACGAGCAACAATCGATACTGGGCTCAGACCGAGAAGAGTGTGGGGCGTAGTCGTGGACAGCCAGATTTTCCGGAGAGATACGACTTCAGCCACGCCGCCCGAAATAACCCCAACGAAAGCGACGCAACCCCGATTAAGCAAGTTAAGAGCATTAGAACGAATGAAGCCCGGTCAGAACACGACGAGCGGAAGAGAATATATGAGAGCAAATCGGTCAAAAGGACCTCGTGGATCGACTGGCATGATTTTGACGCCGAGCAAAAAGACAATGTGTGGTGAGTGGTGGGTTGGAATTGTCCTCTATGCGTGCGTGATAGCCTGTGAACCCGTTGTGTGCTGCCAATAAAGACTACGTGTCCCTACCGCCTCGCTCTCACTACATTTGCTGCCGTGACTAACCCGGATGAAACTACCCTGGCCAGCTCAAGTCGCGGCAGAAACGCGGAGGCTTGGTTCGATGAGTTCCAGGCAATTTCGGCCTGCAACGTAGTCAAGGGGGGGTGCCAAGTTGCTAACGGCCGTGGGCACCTTGCTAGCCGGCAGTGACAGCGACGTACTTGTTGACACAGAGGTCCAAAGCGTGGTGTCTGTTCAGCGAAGTGAAGGCAGCACTGCAAGCGGAGATCGGGAAAGAAATTGATCGACAACAGGCACTAGGAAAGTTTCACTCAGCAAGATGGGAAGAGAACGAAGACCTCATAGTGTTTTATCAGCAGCTGAACAGGCACCTGACGATGGGGCTCCCCGAGTTGGAGGGTGAAGCGAGAGAAAATCTGCTGAGGGAGCAATTCATTCGAAGCCTGCCCAGTTCACTACATAAGAAGGCAAAACTAGCGGCGATAGTGGGAGTCAGCAGAGTTGAGGAGTTAGTGACGGTTACCCAAAGTTTTCCAGAGCTGGTGACGATGCGGAGAATTCAGCCTTCGGAGCTGGAGCGCAAGGTTGACAAATTGTCCCAGCTGGTAGAAAAGTTGTTGTCGCAGTATACCCTGAGGATGGTAACGGAACGCAAATACGGAAGCCGGAAAGGTTCACACTGCTTCAGATGCAATCGGACTGGTCATCTGGCCAGATATTGTACACAAAAGTATTTGTATCAGTGTTTCCCGTTACCTATACTAAGTAGGTTCCGGGTACCGGTGCTCACAGTAACAATTGAAGGTGTATCAGTCCAAGCCATACTGGACGGGGTTCCTGCAATTCAGTCATCAATCATGATGTAGACAAAGCAGCGTGATGTTAATTGACTGGGACTGACAGCACCATGGGTTCCACGGCGAGCAACAACATACGGTTCCAGAGGCGCCAGCCACTGTGACTGAGAGTAAACACATGACACAAACACCCACAGCGAGGCTGAAAATGGTTCCAGAGAAACAACCCACACTCCCATACATACTGAATACCAGATAGAGAGGAACATAAATGGAGACCTAAGTTGTTTTGAGTTAGTCCATATTCCTCAGCATACGAAGCACTCGTAAGTAGATGAACCATGGTGATGACAATGCCTATCACACTTCGTAATCTTGGGCATAGTTAGCTAACTGGAGTGAACAAATGCTTACATTTAAAAGCGCGCATTTAAACTTACCCTCTTGACTTAACGCTTTGGCTTGCTTGAGAGCTTCCTTGGCGGAGATGGACGAGCCAGGGGCATGCTGGTTCACATAGTCCGCAATTGCTTCCCACCTAAAAGCGAGATGAACATACTAGGCTAGTCAGGTTAATTGAGCGCAATATGAGCGATGGGATAGAAACAGCGTGGAGAAACAGACTCACCGCTTGGGAGTGCCAGCAGGCAGTAAGTTGACCGCCTTGATCAGTGTCCGACACAGCTCCGTGCTATATTTTGAAGAGGCGGGAGTCACTGATGCGGCTGGGGGCTGCTGTTGGGAAGATTTCGTTGTTGAGCACAGTCCAGGCGCTTGAAGTTCCCTCTGCACTTCTTCGTGCTAAGCGAGGCAGTAGAAGGATAAATACGGTTTGTTCCAATGTTCAAATAGAAGACGATACAAAGTAACTCAGAGAAGTGGGACACGAATTTCAAGACGGCATCCGTATTCAATTTGGAAAAGAGAAGAGGAAAACAAAACCGACTCCGTCGACTATTAAGCTTGTCGCCGCTTTTTGCCTCGGTCGGAATGTACATACTTCGAAATTGGAGCGCGGGTCAGGAAACGATTCAGTGAAGGGGGACATTTGGGTTGGAATTGCAAAGTCTAAACAAGCTATGGAAACCCCGGTATCCTTATTCGTTTGGGGATTGGTCAATGACTAAATGAGTGAGAGACAGTAACAGACTAGGCATGTTCCTAAGATAATGTGCCCAATATTATAGGGCAATCGACTGAGTAATGCTAACCTTTGCCACTTATGGCGCCGGCGCGACATCACTCTTGCCCTGAAGGCTAGAGTGTACAATGCAGCGGTACGTTCGACCCTACTGTACGGTTGTGAAACCTGGCCGCTTAAAGCAGCGGACCTCAAGAGGCTAGTTACGTTCGACAATCGGTGCCTTCGTAATTTAGCTCACATCTGGTGGGAACACCGCGTGAGCAACGAGCGTGTTCGACGCGTTGTTTATGGCACAGGAAAAGGAAATGAACCGCTCAGCACCGTTATCTCACGCATCAGGCTCCGATGGCTCGGCCACGTGTTACGCATGCCAGCCCACCGACTCCCACGACGTGTGTTGTTTGCGCGCCGGGGGGTTGGATGGAAGAAGAGGAGGGTGGCCAAGCGATGACTTGGTCCAGAGGAATAAAGGCCCTCACTTCTGAGCTGGCCTCGGTTGAAGCGTCGCGGCTCCCTGGTTGGGGTCCGAAAGACGATGAACACGTTTGGTTGGACACACTTGCTGATATGGCTAGGAGCCGACCTCAGTGGCGTTCGTGCTGTGAATTTCTTTGTCCCACCCCATCCTTCTTAGTCTCCCCTCCAACCATGATCTCATTATTTAGCCTTATATAATTTTGCATAGTAATTTTTTTGGTGCACAGTAGCCGGCTGGTAGCTTACCGGAACGATGCCCATCCGTTACCAGTAGCTCAGCCGGCTTGCACCAGTAGCATTCTTTTTTTCTCCTTTTTTCTATGTATTGCGGCACAGTAGCTGAGGTGTTCCCCACCTCTAGCTAACGTGTATGATGATGATGATGAATACCCATCCGATGAGGTGTAGTAATAGACCCTTCTGGCGACACACTGGATCGTTTCATGCACAGGGATTGTGTAGGCTTGTTAGGTCCCATTGTTTATGTGCCTGCTGACCGCTTATCTCGGAGATATCGACTGAAAGATTCGGCCAAATCGATAGGTCCCCCCAGTTCTGCCACTCTATGTACAGCTTCTTGCTGCCGATCGGTAGCCACTTTACCACGAAAGTAAATTTTGTCGAGCATACTTTCCGTGGGAATTTGTTTGTGCTCTAACTCAACCACCAAAGCAAAAGGTCGTTAGTTCGATGACATGGATCGAGGCACAGGGACTACCGCATTCGTATAGGAAAGTTCGCTAAAAACCGACTTTGCGTCAACACTGCAAAAATTAGTTTTTACTCACCCAGAGATAGGCAGTGGTGTACTGATCAGTTCAGCCTCTAACATCATCTACCAGTTCACTTGCAGTTGCGGCGACACTTACATCGGCAGACCTGGTCGCCGGTTAGCTCAAAGGGTGCCTGAACACTTCGCATTGTGGTTAAGACAGTTGCCATCTCACCAAGGCGTAGTGGACGAAAGAATGAACTGGAACCCTGCTTCGTCCATCATTAAGCACCGAATGACGACTCGTCACCAGGTGAACCCATTCGATTCATTCAAGGTGCTATTGCGCAACAGAAACCCGAAGTTGTTGACAATTAGCGAGGCCCTACTGATAAGACTGAATAGTCCCGCACAGTGTGCGCAGAAACAGTTGAGGCAATCAATTAGATTGCCATGGACCTGATTACGTCATTCACACCAATTTTATGTGTATATCTATGTTGCTGAGTGTAAAGCGTATTTAACGCGTATTGGGTTCCGCCTGTATTGCGTCGCGACTGACGATAGCAATCGAAATGTTAACATATCGTAACCTATGTCTTCTTACTACGTTAATGAAGTGGTTGAAGGGGACTCACTGTTTCAAGTTACTGAAGGAAGTCGATTTTTGAGGAATCGAATCTGTAATTGAAACTCGGTAACGCGTGCGATAGCAAAGAAGTAATTATGTTATGCTAGAGTTAGCCATCAAATCAAGTCAGCCGCGTTTTACCTAGTGATCTAACTGCAAAAACTCGTAGGATCGATCTTTAACGTGACCGAAGGGACTAAGCATAGAAAAAATGAAACAGTGGTTTCGGCTGACATCCCCAAGGACTCGGGATCAAGTCGCAGACCGGCTATCTTTGCCTGACGAGTGTAAAAAACAAGTACAGCATCGGTCGTGAAGCGTAGTGTTACAAGCGAGCCACACAACACTCATCTGCATTCCACATGTGTGCTGAAGGTGTCTGACTTGGTGTAGATGTGATTATCTAAGCTGAAGTTCGTTGGTGTAAGCAAGCCACAACGCACACAAATTAACGCAGTGACTGATGAACATCGATTGTGCGGACAATGGGGACGCAAAATACAGTTGGTCGAGTTTCTGATCATGGAACGTCATGTTTAGTCACAGACTGCCTCTTCATCAGCAAAGGTCAGAGTAGTATGAAAATTGACAAGATCCTCAAGGCCGAAGCGACAACTAATATGCAGACGATGAGCGGGTGACATATGGCATCAGCAGTACGCCGGTACGCAGTATAGAGGCTTCGCTGCTGCGCAACGACCACCAGTTGCACGTGGGCTAAGGATACTGCGAGGGTCGCCCTGATCCAATGCAGGCTAAAAACCGCGCCGCCAGATTAAAAGACAACCTCTTACTCATAAGCGGGAAATAGGTGCGGGGCTCGCTAAATCAATATTTGCGGGTCAAAAGCTCGAAACATCAACGATTTCCGGAAAAGTTAGGCGGATCATGGAGCTGGGCTACGGCCATTTAGATTTGCGTGAGAGGTCCACCGAGATTTGAAGTGTGATTTTAGAAGCGTCCCAAATAGGCACCTTGATGACTCTGGGTGAGATAGTCGCTGATCTTCAGGTGACAGGTCGTATCATGCGATGGAGTAAAATCCATCGAGCATGGATCCATCCCATAGTTTTCGCTGGAACAATAACGTGTATATTATGAACAGATAGCGCTCTTGTTTCTTGGCAATGAAGGTGACTTTCGTCTTGTGGATCAAAGTGTTTAAAAAAGTGACTATTAAAAAACAGCATAACAGTGGGTCAAGCAAATGTCACGGGGGCATTCCATCTAAAGTGGGGCAAGAAAATGTGGTACTCAATTGCTAAGCACAGACGTGTGACATCAAGTTCGAGACAAGAAAACTAACGGAAGTCTGGGCCAAATGTCCCGATGTAAAAGCTCGCTAGGCCACGCGGTTTTGAATGCCTGCTGACTGTTCAACCCAGCGTGCATCAAATGCTGTCGCTGCATCTGATCTGGCAAAACCGTGAGGCGGACAGTTCGAAACGTGGCATAAATGCTTGTGCAAATTGACTGCGAGAAATGGTCAAGTCGTCATCGTACAAACACCCCGAGAGATGTGCCACAGCTGTAGTTAGGGATGTTAACTGATATGGCGCAGTCACGCTGTCGCATTCGGTTTTCAGTATCTGGTTGGCAAGAGTTCCCATCGCTTAATTTTACATATTTGCCGCTGACCATTCCTGCAACCTACATCACTTTCTTCATAAGATTTGGTTATCGGTATTGTGAAGATATGAGTCGTAACAACTGGATTCATTGCCTTTCGGCGCCAGGGGTCATGCTCCTCTAAGCAAACTGATGCCCGCTACACGAATAGGGTGTGTGTGATTATGCCCGAAATAGTCACCATCGAGAGAAAAGAAACGAGGATTAGATGCCATTCGGTCATTCACTACAGCCAATGAAGGCTCTATAGAAGGTGAGAGCACCCACGTACAATAAAAGACTCGCAGTGCAAGTCAGACGGCGCTAATTCATCTTGTGCACAGCAAAACAAAAGCGTGGAAGTTGTCAAACTTCCTGAGCAGCGTCCAGAGCAATGTTGAAACCATCCGAAAACGCTACAAAGAGCAAGTGAATGCAGTGGGTTTCGTGCATCAGAGCCACCGCGAGAGCAAGACAGAAAATTGGTCTGGTATTCATAACCAGCATTTCATTCCTACATATGAACTGTTCGACCCACGTTGGAAGATTGTTCAACGGTGTATAGCAGCTCAAAAAAGCGTGTCCAGATTGTGCTGGAACAAGTGCAAAGAGCATTCACAAAGCGTCATCTAGGTGCTTCTTCAAAACTGGAATATTCTGAAAGATGCGATAAACTCAAGCTTGATCAGCTCTGGCTATGGAGCACGAAGCAAAACCTAGTTATATTGTTTAAAATCTTGCGCAGAAATATGCATGTTTCTAACTTCAACGTGACATTAATACAATCGACAGTCTACAACACACGGAACAGACAGAACTCAGTGGCAGAATGCAAGTCCAGGACAAACAAGGCTGCCAACTTTCTTCTTAGTAGCTAGGCCAGGTTGTGGAACAATCTAACACCCGGAATACGTGCCTGCATTCTTGGACCCGAATTTCGTAAACATCAACAAGTTCTTGTTTGTACAGTACGTGATCAAACTATTTGTTCTACAACAAAAGTTGAGCATATGAGCAGGATGGAACTTTCTTATGACTGCGTACATGTTTCACTATCATTTCTGTGATTTAGCAGTTTTATGTGTGAGAACGATTAAAAGTTAGTCAATATTATTCCGATTCAGTCAAACATTTATTATGTCTTTGCTGTCCTTCCAAACGTTATTACCTGGTCTGATATTCAATCTTGCAATTGTCGGAAATAAAAGTTTATTTATTTATTTATTGAATACTGGCCAGCTCCTAATAAACCGAGGCTCTCATCCGAACGTCATTCAGATGCAATTCATCAGGCAAACACCGGATATGAGATATGTGCGCGGTGCAGCGCAAGCCACCCATGTTCGCAACAGGTGTCCTGTGGTAATCACGGGGACAAAAAAAGCGAGAAACGGAAATCATCAACCATGCGACACTTGAGGCTCATACTCAGTAAAACAGAGGCAGAAACTCCACGATGCCTTTCCCCCAGCTTACTCAGATTGCCACATCATTATGGGGGTTCATCCGGCAACTGGTAAGATGCAGAGGAAGCAAGTAGAAGGGCAAGCAAAGAAGATGGATCGGACAACAGGGGGGGGGCAGACCCAGGTGATCACCTTTAGTAGAAGTAATAAATAACTAAGTAACAATATTCAGAATGGAGAATTAAAACATCCGGATGGAATATCAGCCAAGAATAAACGAATGGATGTAGAAGCGGGTAGGCACCTTGAGTGCGTCGACGATGATGAAGACACCGAACAAGAAGATAATCAGCAGTAACCCAATCTAACATCTCGGCGAATCGCTTCAAGTCCTTTTGCGACATCATGGCCTGACGCCCTCGGGGTCTTGCTCGATTAGGCGCGGCAGTGAAAAATGCAACACGCTGAAGCGGCCAGACAGCAGAAGTGTGAAGGACTTGATGTATCCAGCGTAGTTCGAGTTTCAAGGATGCTCCAACGCGGTTTGTTGAAAAACACCGAATGACAAAGTTCAGTATAAATCATTCGGTGATTACATCAGGCGCTATAGGCATCCGCGGTCATCGGGTGTCAAAAGTGGATGGTCTCTTTATGTCTTCTGTGAGTAACAATCATAGCTGAGTCACGTCGAAGCGTTGTGAATCATTCATTTAACCAACAAATTTATATTCCGCCTTAACCATAAGCGATGGTGGTGGTCGCGCGGCAGCGAAGCGCCGTTACGGTGTACAGCTGACACATTTTATTATTATTAATTATAAGCATGTGATAATTTGGAAAGCGATCCTGCACAAAACCAATCCGCTCATCTTCAGTGAGGAGACCGACGGAGGCAAATCAGCTACCTAGATAAATAAACCAAATAAACACGTCAGTTACCTGTGAGATGACATTGGGAACTGGTGGTGCGGCGTTCTAATTCTGTCAACATACTATGCACCTTGAAGGTGCGGACACCATGCTGAAGCGAATAGCGCTCCGCGTCAGTCCGGAAAGTGGCGTTAGCATACACCGTGACTATTTGCTCACATCGGAGACCCGCCTGCAAGACTCGAGCTCTGTACTCACTCTGCGATCCCCTTCAGGTGACACTAGCAGCACTTTCTCATTGCGCCTATCCGGTGACGATGCAGCTTCGAGCACCGGCCAAGCCGGTGTTGGTATTTCCCTGAGTCCGCGGGCTGAAACTGCTCTGGTTGATTGGATTCCAATCAGTAGCCGGATGTGTGCGGTCCGATTGGCTGGCTCGTTCAAAACTTCGAAGTCGCGTGGGACTAACAGGTGTCTATTCGTTATCGCTGCCTATGCACCGACAAACTGTAGCGATGACTCGGTAAAAGACGACTTCTATCGCCAACTGAACGAACTCCTTCGTCACAGAAGAAGCTCGGACACTGTAGTGCTGGCTGGGGATCTGAACGCTCAAGTTGGAAAATTATCCACAGATGAGCTGCATCTGGGCGGCCAACATGGTATAAGCTGCCGTAATGATAACGGTGAGCGGTTACTTCATTTGTGTGAGGATGCTCGCTTATTTCTTGCGAGCACTAATTTCCGACACAGCACCCGCCGGAGGGTGACTTGGCGCCCACCAGCCTCGAACCAGCTATGGACGCAAATCGATCACATTGCTATCAGTTTCAGCTGGAGAGGCTGCGTCCAGAACTGTCGCTCGATTTGGAGCACAGGTGTTGACACCGATCATGCACTTGTATGTGCTGACCTGCGGATGCACTTTGGCGGACGCCCAAGACGATGTTGTGAGCGCATTGACACCGGCAGACTGGTGAATCCAGCTGTTCTGAACGCCTATCAAATTACGCTGTCATCCGAGTTGGATAACCGCTCACTGGATGCAATTGAAGCTCACTGGTCTCATATGCAACAGGCCTTACTAGCAGCAGGCAAATCCTCATGTGGTATGTCTAATCGCCAACATGAACAGTGGGTCTCTTCACAGTCTTTGGAACTTATAGATGCTCGCCGGCATATTCCGGCTGGAAGCGAACACAATGAAACTCGCAAAGAGCTCCGGGCAAAACTCCGTGCTAGCCTGAAGAGAGACCACGAATCCTGGCGGTCTCGTCGTGCAACAGAGATGGAAATGGCCGCTGCCCTTGGTAACCATCGTGAGTTACTCCGTCTTATACGGGAAACGGGTAGCAGGAGACCTGGTGTTAGTGAAACTATACGTGACGAGAGTGGACAGCCTATCCACAATTTGTCAAAGCGCTTGGAACGTCGGGCTGAGCACTTTGAAAGGCAATTTAATCGGTCGGAATTGTTAGATTTCTCGCCGACCAGTGATCGTCCTGCTCCGTGGGCTGTTCCTTTGAACCCACCCTCTCGCTCAGAAGTCGAACATGAGATCAAACTGTTGAAGTTAAATAAAGCCGCGGGACCTGATGACCTTCCTACAGCCCTTTTCAAATTCGGGGGACCTGCTCTTGTGGATGATTTACACGAGTTACTAGTGAGACTGTGGGAGCAGGAAACTGTCCCAACCGATTGGAGCCGCTCCGTCATAGTCCCAATTTTCAAAGGAGGCTCACGATCGGAATGCGGCAGCCATAGAGGAATCAGTCTGATCTCCATCGCCTACAAATTGCTTGCCTCTGTCATCCTTCACCGACTGACTGGCACTCGTGAAAGCCAGATTCGTGAAGAGCAAGCTGGATTTCGTCGAGGTCGTGGTTGCATTGACCACATCTTCACCTTGCGTCAGTTGTTGGAGCACCGTCACATATATTGGCGGCCCACCGTTATCGTGTTCCTCGATATCAAAGGTGCATTCGATTCGGTGGATAGATATGCACTTTGGGACTGTCTACTCAAGAAAGGTGTACCTGAGGAATATGTGAATATTACCCGAGTATTATATGCTCGTAGCTCGGGCAGAGTGAGGGCTTACGGCAAGTTGTCGTCGCCCTCTAATATCTCCAGCGGCGTGAGACAAGGATGCCCGCTGTCACCTTTCCTCTTCAACTTCGCTGTTGACGAAGTCATGGAAATCGCGTTTACAGGACACGACTTAGAAGGTGTGGAGCTACTCCCAGGAGAACGACTTCTTGACTTGGAGTATGCTGATGATATTGCCCTCATCTGTGACAGCTCACAAACGTGCCAAGCAACACTGGACAGATTAGCACTAGCTGTCCGTCACTTCGGGCTTTGCTTCGCACCCTCGAAGTGCAAAGCGTTTCTCCAAGATTGGTCTGGACCGCCTCCTACGCTGACCCTTGGTGGGGATCAGCTAGAAGTCGTTCAAAAATTCAACTACCTGGAAAGTTGTATCAGCGCCCGTGGGATTGAAGATGAAATCACGAATCGTATAGCAAAAGTGCGGGGCGCTTTTGCTAACCTTCGCCACTTATGGTGCCGGCGCGACATCACCCTTGCCCTGAAGGCTAGAGTGTGCAATGCAGCAGTACGTTCGACCCTATTGTACGGTTGTGAAACCTGGCCGCTTAAAGCAGCGGACCTGAAGAGGCTAGTTACGTTCGACCACCGGTGCCTTCGTAATTTAGCTCACATCTGGTTGGAACACCGCGTGAGTAACGAGCGTGTTCGACGCCTTGTTTATGACACAGGAAAAGGAAATGAACCGCTCAGCACCGTTATCTCACGCATCAGGCTCCGATGGCTCGGCCACGTGTTACGCATGCCAGCCCACCGACTCCCGCGACGTGCGTTGTTTGCGCGCCGGGGGTGTGGATGGAAGAAGAGGAGGGGTGGCCAAGCGATGACTTGGTCCAGAGGAATGAAGACCCTCACTTCTGAGCTGGCCTCGGTTGGAGCGTCTCGGCTCCCTGGTTGGGGTCCGAAAGACGATGAACACATTTGGTTGGACACACTTGCTGATATGGCTAGGAGCCGACCTCAGTGGCGTTCGTGCTGTGAGTTTCTTTGTCCCACCCCATCCCTCTTAGCCTTCCCTCCAACCACGATCTCATTATTTAGCCTTATATAATTTTGCATAGTAATTTTTTTGGTGCACAGCAGCCGGCTGGTAGCTTACCGGAACGATGCCCATCCGTTACCGGTAGCTCAGCCAGCTTTCACCAGTTGTTTTTTTCTCTCATTTTTTCTTTGTATTGCGGCACAGTAGCTGAGGTGTTTTCCACCTCTAGCTAACGTGTATGATGATGATGATGATGCTCACACCAAACTCACTCGCCCTGCATGCAATTCGGTTGGAGAGAACAATGACATCGTGTACATAACCAAAAACAGACCTTCGGTTACAACTGACCTGTTTGTTGAAGAGAAGGCAAGCATCTTCGACACTGGAGGCATCATCCAGCTGATCGTTGAGTTGCTGAAGTCTATCGGAAAAGAAATGAGGATAAGTGGAACAAATTCACAGCGAAACCATATACGGCGGCGTGCCTGGATGAACGTATTACAGTGAGTAAGAGAATGATTACGCTCCACTAGCTAACGAGAGCAGGAGATTTGGGTCAAGTGGAAGTAGGAGAGGGAAGCACAGAGTGAGGCTGTAACGAATGCCTGCGAGACGACACGGGTCGTGCGGTCTCAGCACATAAACCTTGAGTTCCTCGGAAATAAAACCAGACTTAAATCTGTCTATACATTAGTAATAAAAAACAAAGCCCTATCCGTGCTCAAATTGCTGTGTTAATTCACGACACTGGCAAGGGAAGTCCTGACACTTGAGAGCCAACCGATGTCCTCTGGACGGGCAGTAACCTGCGTGACAAAGGAGGATGGGTCGAGCTATAACGTAAATACATTTCAATCTGTGATAGTCGGGTATCGGCCTCCATGTCTCAGTGGCATCAGCTGCTGACTAGTGGTGCAAGCCACTAGCGGTCATAGGTGCGACCCTCAGCAGGGGACCGAGGAAATGCACATCGCCGACAGGCCTCAATACGGCGAAACGATCATCTGGTACTTTTCCGGATAGATAGCTGTCCTCTGCGGCATGTAATCTAATGGAGATGAACCAAATACATTCACACCCAAATCCGTCTGTTCATTAGTTAGTCATTAGGGCAATAACCGAATAATCCAAAAAATGCCGTTTCCAGCGGTTCCAAGCAGCTGGAGGCCGTTTCGCATGAGTAATGTTTCAAAGCTGTGCGGGTAAATCCAATCTCGTAGCAAGTTAATCCCGTCATCCGAATATTAGCAACCGCCAGAAGCCTAAGGAAGGCAACGGAACACGCAATCGAGGAGTGTAACTGCATAATGAAAGCCTCCTGTATCAGCATGCGAAATGCCGGAACCGCGAGATAACTAAATGAGTGAACTAAGGCAAAGTTAAATGTCAATCATACGGGTACATATGTTTGCGATCGACGCTCTCATGTGGTCGCGGTACCCACTACAACTTACTGTGTGGCTGAAAGACATTGGCATAATAAGTCGACCGCTGCCAGGATGCGGACGCGTTCGGTGTCTGGATCCACTGGTGTAGGTTCCAGCCGGATAAAATGATCATGACGATCGACAACCAGCTCATGGAGTCGGCGTCGCTCGCGTTTGGACTCCAATTTCGCTTGTTCGCGTTCCTTCCGAACTCGATCGGCCTCGACCCTGCGGCGCTCTTCGCTAGCCGCCCGTGCGGCAGCTAGTCGTTCGGATTCTTTGGCCGCGAGCTGAAAATCGAAGACATTCAAAACATTTCATGTTGCAAAGTCCTCAAATGAAACCTGTGAAGTCAAATATGCCTGTTATTCCCTTTTAAGAAATTAAGTACCATTGGTTGATCCCAATAACCGAGGCTCTCTGTACAAACTGGCTCCACAAGTCTCTGTCTAACCAGGTACATATGAAGCATCGTCAACGGATTTGAATTATATTCGAATGACAAACGTGTGCTACGTATCAAATGTTTATTCCTAAGTGATATGTCAAATATGGCTTCTCCTGGTGTGAATGGTGAACATAGGTACGCATATGCAATGCCGATATACCGAGCATTGGATTCTAGGGGAATCCAATTCCCGCCGTAGAGTTGGTCTCAAAGAATGGCTCCGTCGAAGAACGAGCTATGGTACAGGCCATTAACAAGTGTTGACTTGTTATGCTGTAGTGTGCGTGTTGAGGAAGTGCTGGCCATGCAAAAAACAATCTTAGCCTCGACCTGCATGTCAGTCAGCTCTATTCCTTCGGGAGTGCACTAGACATGGAGCGCGTGGACGGATATGTGATTTGCAGTCACGTTTGAAGCTAGCCGAATGGTTCAGGTTATTGGCTTGTGATGCGCACAGGTCGCTGGTCGCAGCACCTCTAGCCCACATGTGACTGCCGGTGATATGTCGACCGCAAAACGTCGGTATGCAGTGACGGCGTACTGTTGATACCTCTCCTTCTTCTCGTGACTGATTGCACCAGTATCGATTGCTGGGACATATCATAAGTCGCTGAAGTTTGACGAAAGCATGCACTCTGCGGAGGCTCAGTCAAAGGTTCCGGAAGACCGCTGAACCACTTTCGGCTAACGGTCACTAAATAAGGAAAACCGACCATTAGACGTTATGCTGGCTCGGAAGCTTGGTGCGATTTTCACGCAGAAACCACACGAATCAACGAGAAATCACAAATGAGGTAAAACTCTCCCGCCTCGACAGAGCACGAGTGACGCGGTATGGGCGGATACCAATCTCCGAAGGCCAATATTTCAATATAAGCCGCTTCGGTAACTAGACTAACGCGTTGTCCACCGGCTGAAATCGTGGACACAAATTCGGAGGAATCATGAAAAACGAAAGTCGAAAGGAAGACTAACTGAGGCAACACAGTGGGTGAGCGGTGAAGAAGGGTCGGAGAAAGAGCATGAAGGCCAACAGTGCCAATAAAACGACCATTAAAATGACTAAAAAATTTAAGCAAACATTCCGGAAGGTAATGCGCAAGACTCAAACCTGTTCTTCTGCCTCCCGCTTCTGCCTGATCGCATCAAGACGAGCTTGACGCTTGGCAGCTTTGGCATCTCTGGCGGCTTTGTTGGCGGCAATCAACCGGGGATCATTGGCTTTGGCCAATTCCAAAACCTGCCGAATGATACGGAGTTCCTCGGATCGCCGCCGAGCCCGCTCCACACGATTCTGACGTTCAATCGCACGTCGTGCTTCGCGACTGAGAAGACAAATGGGTGTGACCAGAATTTTTTTAAAATGACTCATTGACTGCTGTACAAACGAACAGGAAGTTTCAAATTTTTAATACTACTTGATATCGAGACCAGTAGATGGACTAAGAAATGTCTGCGGAGCTCCAACGGGGTTGAACAAGCATTAAAAGAAGCAAGAAGTCAAAGAAACGTGACCAACTGCATTGTTGCAAGAAGGCATAGAAAGGAAAATTCGCGCTGAGGAATTGAGACAAACCAAAAAGAGGCCAAGTGGAAATCAGGTGGAAAGTTACGAAATGTTGCACAGGTCATTAATGGGTAAATGACTTCCGATCAGTTTGCTAAGAACACAATCCGATGGGAGATGACGAAACACAGAAAGCAAGTTATCCCTGTTGACGTTATAAGAACAATAGCAAAAAGCAGTATGATGTACACAAGTGCTGCATGAGACAGGAGGATTCACAGAAGGGATCCACAAAAGGATGAGATAAGCCAACTGGCCCCCTGAGCTTTTTCGTGACATTGCATCAAAACTATAAGTGCGCAATCGATTCAATAAACAGCTTCTCGCTGGAAAAACAGTAGAAAGGGTGGAGCATAAACTCACTCTTCACCTTTTTCTTTATCCTCTTCATCCAAAAACGAAAAGTCGCGAGTGGTATCGTACAGCTCCCTGTGAACGATGGAGATTAAGGGACGCATAGGTTAAAGGAATGGAAATGACAACCACCAAAAGAGACAGCAAAACAGAACCTTGCGCAAAGATTAGAAATTATCACTCCATTTATCTATCCGTAAGACAAAAAATTAATCGCACGGGGATCTCAGTGACATAAAACGTTGATGCAATATTTAAACCTAATGTAAGGAATCTGTAAAAGATGTTGCTTCGATCATCCGGGTGGTTCTAGAATATATATATATATATATATATATATATATATATATATATATATATATATGGTTGCCAGCCCCGCTTCGGATATGCCTGCCACTGTGGATAATCACAGGACGTCTGTGCCTACAGAAGGACCATGAGTGGCTTGCTCTGCACCACCCACAGCTCCAACGACACACACCATATGCAGTGTAAACCCCAAGGAATAAGACCAGGAGGCATGTGGATGGGAGCCAGGTTTCATCAATGGACCGTGATCCGCTCCACACTGAGTGCATGGAACCATTCTTCGAGCCTAGCACGGCCACAAGGACCGTGCACCCCGTCCCCTCTACCAACGACCAGTGTGGAGGAGGTAGTGGGTAATAGATAGGTAGGCACCTTGTCAACATGTACATCAAGCGTAGCCACACCAGGGATATTAAGCAAAAGGAATCACTTGAGGGGACGAAATCAAATCAAATAAATCGAATAATGCATACAGATACCGTGACTTAACTCTGCACTAAATGAGATTATAAAATAGATTAGTTACGAACAGATCCACGGTAAGTTTAAAACGTCATAAATGTACTTTAAGAAAATGCCACAAACGCGAAAATGTTATCGGAGTTAACTAAAGTAGTTTAAAAGGCGTGTGCAAGTGTATAGAAGAGAGTACAGGTAAATATTTATATGAGAAAGAAAAGCATTAGGACAAAATTGAAAACCCAGCAACTGAAATAAATAGACGTTGCATGCAAGCACGCGGTTAGTAAATCGAATGCAGCGTACCTACAAACGCTGCGCCGGTTCTGAATACTTCTCTGCAGGACCCGTCGTCGCTTCTGTAGTGGTCCCGAGTAGCCTCGCTAATGGCTCACAAGGCCTGCCTGACTCAGGCACTCGCGATCGCATGTGCTACAGTACCATGCGCTCGATGTCGATGGTATACAACTCATCGACGCCTGCCGTTTAGGTAATCGCCGCTTTTTCTCTGCATGCACGAGAGATTTCTCTTGCACCTCGGCGACGGCCTTCGTGATCAAATCGCGCCATGCACGCCGATCAACCGCTTTCGATTCCCATGACCTGCAATCAAGCTTAGAATGTGAGAGGCTCACTTTGATCATGTCCTGGCAACGAAGCTTCGGTTTCCCCACATGCCACTTCCCAATACTCAGCTGACCATATAATAACTACTTGGGTATCCGCGTCGAATCCATATGCCACACATGATCAAACCACCTAAGCTGTCTCAGCAAAAGTATGCAGTCCACTGCATACATTCCACATCGGCTCAACACTTCCGTGTAAGCAACTCTGTCGCACCAACCAATGCGTAGAATCCGTCGCAAACACTGTTGATGAAACCACCCGAGATATCGCACATCCCGCCGGTATACCGTCTACGTTTTGCTGCCGTATGGAAGAACGGACAGCACCATGGATTTGTACACCATCAGCTTCGTGTCAACGGTAAGCTGATGGTTGTTCCACACTCGGTACTCAAGCTTCCCGAATGCCGCCGTTGCCTTCGACACGTGAATACGCAGCTCATTGTGTATCTGCTGATCAGTCGACATCACACTCCCAAGGTAGCAGAAGCGGGAGGTGGTTTCCAATACTTCAGCACCAATGCTGATTCGCGGCAATATTGAAGATTGCACCTCCGGTCAAGGCTAAAAGGGACGGGCAGTTTTGCTTGTGTTGATGGTGAGCCCGAATTTGGCCACTGTCCAAGCCAGAGCACTAGTCATGTGCTGCAACTCATGTGCGTTGTGTGCAAACAACCCACAGTCGTCAGCAAACAGCAACATACGGATAGTTGTCTTACAGACTAGGGTTCGCGCACCGAAACGACGGATGTTCAACAACCCACCATCAATACGGTACTCCACACGAACACCGTAAGCACAAGCCGCATCAAAAGCACAAGACGTCATGACATGAAGATATATATTAAACAGGGCAGGAGCTAAGACACAGCCTTGCTTCACACCAGAGATAACTGAAAAGTTATCCGAGGTCTGTCCACTCAGCTGCACCCTTGCCCGCATACTACTGTGCAGACATCTAATTGAACTTACAAACTTACTCGGACAACCAAACTTACACAACACCAGCCACAATGCCTCGCGGTTCACCGTATCGAATCCCTTGGTAAAATCAGCAAATAGTCAGTACCGCAGCTGGTGTCGTTCTCTGCACTTCTCCTGCAACTGACAAACCGCAAACACCATATCTATAGTGCTGCGACCCGAACGGAATCCACATTGCTCTTCCGCCACGTTCGGTTCCACAACCTGACAGACGAGGCGGTTGAGCAGGATTCGGGCAATCACCTTACCCACACAACTCAGCCAGTTGATGCCACGATAATTCGTGGCACATTGCTTGCTTACTTTGCCCTTGTACAGTGGTAGCACAAGGGCATCCTTCAGCTCTGGAGGCACCTCCTCCTCAATCCATACACGTTGCACCAAGTGGTGCAGCGCATTCACCAAAGCGAGCCTTTACAAAATTTGACAGTAACTGTACCTGAGACCTATCAAGAGCGAGACAAAAATTCAGATCGTAACGTTGGCAACACGAAAAACAAATCTAAATGCGACCCGAATGAAATAAGCTATAGGTTATCTCCGACCAACCGAGGAGTAGGCAAAAACAGGAGAAACGCCCTGCCAGAATTTCTTCCATAAGCACTCAAAGCTCAGTAGGTCTGAAGCGACCACTACAAGAACGTAGAGATATGCAGCTAGGCCAACTGAGAAAAAGTGTACGTCCTCAAGCTTCTACATGCAACACCGACACTGTTGTCGGGATAAGTCGCAGAGAGCCGGCCCAATACTTACCCACAATGTCTCTGACTACGTTTCCAAATCCCGCGACCTCAAGCTGGCAAAGCCCTTATGTGTGCGACACCGAAATAGCAAACAAAATTGTGGTAGGCCACACGGACTTACAGGTAAGAGGGTGCAATCCCTATCTACCTCAAGTCAAAATTCACCCACCACCACCCTCTGTATTACTCAACTGGCAACAATACAAACCGAAGCAAAATGAGTTCGTCGACTTCAGCATCCCCCCACCCCTGTATACCACGGATGTAAGTCCTTTTTTAGACTAGCGTACACCACCACTTCCTTCCCCACCAATCCAGCCCCTATCACGTACGATTGTGAATCAGAGAATAATCAAACTACTGGAGTATGTACTTCATTCAATGCAGTACGATCTAGAGTTCAGTGTGCCTCAGCTACCTCACAACACACAATTCTCAGATACAATGACGATGAAACAAACATTACCCACCACTTTCATTCCAAGTTAACAATGTCTTTCAAATCTGTCGTCATTAACATTCGTTCCCTTTTACCCAAATTAGATCTACTTTCAACACTTATGTTTATGAGATCCCCCGATATTGCTTTTATCACTGAAACTTGGTGCACGTCAGAAATTAGTGATTCTCAGCTTAACATCTTAGGCTATAAGCTTTTCCGCAAGGATCGCTCACACAAACGTGGTGGTGGCTGTGCCATATATCTTCGAAATAACCTGACTGCAATTCCCGCAGATCAACCTGTGTTCAATGGCTTAGAAGATACACTATGGCTAGTGATCCCATCTACTGATCTTCTAGTGGGTTGTATCTATCGGCCGCCCCGAACTACTCAATGTGAAACCCAAAAGCTAATCGATATGATCAATGCTGCTTCCAGCACCACATACAAATCCAAAATTATGTGTGGAGATTTCAACCTACCACATGTTAACTGGATGCTGCCTACACTCAGAAACACTGCGGAGATTGAGGAAATCATCTCATGTATTCACCTCAATGGCTGGACTCAGCATGTTAGAGAGCCAACCAGAAGTGCCACTACCTTAGACCTTGTATTCACGATGGGAATCTCTTACGCTTATACATTCATTGATAATCCACTACCTGGCTGTGATCACAACACGGTGCTTTGTGATATGACTATAGATTCAACTAAACGACCAAGTAAAATGCTAAAACCCATTCGCAACCTCCATCGTGTGGACTGGAACTCATTTAACGAACTTATCAGTACCATGAATTGGAATACGTCATTCCTAACTCACAACCCTACTGTGGCTACAAATGAGTTTATTAACAATATTGCCCTTGGTGTGGATCTACTGGCACCTACTGTATGGAGAAATACCCATGAACATAATGGTGAACTCAAGCTTCTGTACAAAGCCAAAATCAAACTAAAGAAACTCAAATCGCTATATCGCAGGAGCAACAACTTCGCAACATTGCTACAAATACACGAGGCTCTGCTACAACTACAACGTCTAACCCAAACGGCCAAAGTCAAAGAAGAAAGTCGGGTACTCAGAAATCCTGAGAAAGTACGTACATTGATGCAACTACTCAAAAGAAGGAACCCTAAACCACTTCAGGAAATTGAAACGTTGGCTCTAGACGATGGTTCAATAACGCGCGACATCTCCTGTATATGCGAGGCTATGAACTCTAGTTTTGCCTCCTGTTTTGTCCCCAACACTCAGCCATTTCATCCTCCACTTCCAAAAAGAACGACCGAACTATACTGCAATATCCCTGTGACGTTAAGAGAGGTGCAAAGTGCCATCGCATCCATAAAACCATCAACTCGTCCAGGTCCAGATGGCATCTCCCCAACTGTTATAAAACTCGGGAAAAAACCTCGCTCTATTGTTATTAAGCATCACACTTTCACTCACTACCGGCTGCTTTCCAACTCAATGGAAGCAATCCATTATAATGCCTAAGCACA